GAGCTGGGCCATGAGCCTTACCCGCAGGTTTGGCGACGGCTACATGATCACCGTGAGGACCAGGAGCAGCCAGAGCGTGAAAGATGTGGCGCGGTTCTTCAACCGGAATTTCCCCGAGGCCGTGCTAAAGGTGGGCGCCGCCGCGGGCCGGGGAGTGGGGGGGCGCCCTGCCGGCGCCCTCTGACCTCTTGGCCTCTGAGCAGGAGCGCCACCACACGAAGGTGCAGTACCAGCTCAAGTCGGAGCACATCTCGCTGGCGCAGGTGTTCAGCAAGATGGAGCAGGTGGTGGGCGTGCTGGGCATTGAGGACTACTCGGTCAGCCAGACCACCCTGGACAACGTGAGTGCCCAGCGGTGCTGGCCGCCCTGGTTTCCCCCAACTCTGGCGCCTGCCCACCTGCGTCTGCCCACCCACTGACCCGTCCGCCAGGTGTTTGTGAACTTCGCCAAGAAGCAGAGCGACAACCTGGAGCAGCAGGAGACGGAGCCGCCCTCAGCCCTGCAGTCGCCCCTGGGCCGCCTGCTCAGCCTGCTCCGGCCCCGCCCCACCCCCACGGAGCTGCGGGCCCTGGTGGCCGACGAGCCCGAGGACCTGGACACGGAGGACGAGGGCCTCATCAGCTTCGAGGAGGAGCGGGTGAGCGGCCTGGGTCCAGCAGCCCGGGGCTGGTGGTGGGCGCCTGGGCACTCTCTCCTGAGCTTGAGGGGCGGCAGTGCCACCCCGTGCCCAGGGTGCAGCGGCGGGAGCCGGCGGGAGGAGCCAGGCCCCTGGAAACAGGGTCTCCAGGGCAGCGGGGGCGGGGCCCCGCCCGAGCCCTAAGTGGGCGGACCCTGAGGGCCGGGGGCCGGGCCTGGCCAGTGGGGATGGTGCCCGCGGCTGCAGAGTACGACCCGCCCACCGCCCGCAGGCCCAGCTCTCCTTCAACACAGACACGCTCTGCTGACCACCGCAGCCGCCCCGGGACACACTGTGGGATGGGAGTCAGGCAGTGGCCGAGGCCGCCCGTGCCCGGCTGCGCACCAGGACCCCTGGCGCCCCGCCAGCCCGCCCTCTGCCCCTGCCAGCCCGCGGCCCCCCTGACTGTGCCAAAGGCTGCCCGGCCCTGGGCTGCACCCTCACCCTGCTTTGCCTTAAAGCCTGGGGTCTGCCCAGCCCCTCGCCTCTACCCAGCCCGGCCCTGCCCAGCAGCCCTGGGTCCGGTATGCCCGCCACGCCCGCCAGCCCCTCTCCTGGCCGGGTCTCCAGAACTGAGCTGTGGCGGGGTCTGGATGGCGGCCCTGGGGGGCTGCGTGTGGGGTTGGGTGAACCCCTCCCCCAGGCGCTTATTTATTTTGCTTCAGGAAGAGGCCCCTAACCCAGTGTTGGGGGGTAGCCCCGCCTGGGAGACATCGGGTGGCAGGATGGAGAAGCTGGCCCCAGGGCCAGGTGAGGGCAGCCACCTCCCTGCCCGTCAGCTGCCCCTGCTCCCACAGCTTGGCTGCTCCGCCGGGCCTGTACAGAGCGCAGAAGTTTGTTTTAAATAAAACTGAAAAGTCTCCGTGTGTTGTGCGGGCTGGGGGCGGGCCGAGGG